CTAAAATGTATGGTTAACCCCGGACCTGTATCCCTCCCCTAAAACATCAAGTGCCTGTAACCCCATTGGCCTAAGCCTTGTTCAGGCCGACCTTTAAGCCCCCTGATAAGGGGCTCCGAGGGGCCACACATCCTCTTGGAACTTCCCCTCCCCTTGGAACTCCCCCTCTCCTAGAGCATCCTTTTGTCTCTCCCCTCCGCCACCCTCTCAAGCCTCGCCACGTGCTGCATCTGGCAGCTCGAGGCAGGACCTCTCTCCATCCCTAATAAACCTCATTCCCCAAGAGCAAACTTCAGAGATCTCTTGTCTCCATTCATCTACACTGTCCTGGAGCAAGCAGAGCTTGCTACACTGGCTCTCTGTGAAAGAACAGACCAGCTGCTTTGCTCTAGGCAGCCGCACTGCAGGAAAAATAGAACTCACTCTGGGCATCAGATGCTCCTGAAGGGAAGTAATAGGATGTTTCTATCTGGTACTGGCAGAAATAAAGTACTTAAATAATAAAGCACTTACTGTGTGTACTTAACTACATTTAGAGGCATGATTACTGTAGAAACCTGATTTAAATTGCTTGAGTAATTCAAAGTGAATAACTTTGTTTACAACACCTGTTGCATCAGTGTGATGAGTTAAACACCAGTCAGGTGATGTCGTGAGATTGTGTCAGAAGTTTGAGACAGAAGAGCTGCTTAGGTCATCCTGCCCATCCCTTGGCTACTGTGCTGTGCTTCCCTATAACTTGTTTCTGTGCTACTTTTTTAGAATTCAAAACATTTAATGTAACAGTGTTTTCATCACCAGTTTCTGTATTTTTTCCCACTGTGAGTTTTCCTTCTTAGGAAAGAACTTCTGAAAATGGATTCTCATTCTGCTATGTCACTTTATCATAGACTAATAGAATATAAGGCTGCAAGAGACTCAGAGATCATCTGGTCCCTCTCTATGCCTAGAGGCAAATTCAACTATAATTAAAACATTTCTGTTAAATGCATGTTCAGCCTGCTCTGAAAGATCTCAGCCTCTTCCGGCAAGCCATACCAGAGCTCGAGTGCTCCTACTATTATAAAGTTTTTCTAATGCCTAAATATTTCCTGTTTCTTTTCATGTTCACTGCATTTCCATATCTCTCCCAAGGGGGCATGGATTACAGTTACTGCTACTATTTTTTGCCTGCAATATTTTTATATAAGATATATTTTTCCTTCTAAGTTGAGAGTATGAAATATAGACTATTCTGCAGATATCAGGCCATAACAGTTAGTTCTGAGTCTTCTGTTTTACTTCACTTTCTATCAGCTAAAAGAAATACCTTCATTCTTAAACTCTCCATATGAAGTTGGGAAACATACAGTTTAGCTTCATGCTAACAGGCTGGGCAATAGAGGGTCATAAAGACTCTCTTTAGGGGACAAAGGGAAAATTTTTCTTTGCATCACAAATTAAAGTTTTTTTATAAATATTGTTGAATTTCCTGTGACAGTTTAGGAGCATATTATTTATTTTAGACATCAGGAGAGCTGTGCAATAATGCCTGTGATATGCCCACACTCTTGGAAGCAAAGAAACTCAGGTAGCTTCAGAGGAGATCTGGATCTCTTGGCTACAGTGATGATAGGAAACTAAACAGTGACAGTGCCCGTTCTCTGGCTTTGATGCTACCTGGTGTGATCTACTCACCTCCTGCTATTATTATTATTAAGCTCCATCAGCACTAAAAACCAGTTTGCCTCCTTGAGAGGTCTGTTGGAAATGCTCTGTGCTTATTGCCAAGCTGGGAGCTGCCAGCTGTGGCAGTACCTGTGCCAAGTGCTGTTTTTCCAGCATCAGGGCACAGACCAGAGTGTCCCAGTGCCTCTGCCTATGCCTTGACTATGATTGTCTTGTACAGGAATAGCACCTGTGTCCTATTTCACTAGCTTTGGTGCAAGGTCATCTTTTCCCCACATTAGCTTGTTCTCTAAGGTCAGCAGGGTGCCTTCTGAGGCTGGTACAGCTAAAGAAAAGAGTTCATGCATTGTGTCTGCTTTGAAATAAGTTTTGCTCATGTCAGTTTGCATTTCCAAGCCTACTAAATAGGAAAGACAGATAGTTTTTTTACAACAGTCACTCAAAAAATATGAACAAAACATAATTCATTAAATTCTAAAATTTTCCATTAATTGCAGGTCTGAATGAAATCCCCTTAGGGTTGTTTAAAAAATGTGAGCAGGAACAAGAGATTAGACAAATCAAAACATCAAATACTTAACTGCAACATTAACTGTACTTTCAAAATGTTGGCAGGGATCCTGGAGAGTCGCGTGGTTGTTGCACCAGTACACAAAGAATGTTTTACAGGACTGTCTCTGATCACTGTTTTTCAGAGGAACTGAATGCACCGACAGCAGCACTTTTGGAAAATCACCAACTCTGTTGCAACACACTGTTGACTTTTCTGCTAATGAAATGTACTGTTTTCCTGTGGCAGTTCCTATTACAATGGTTCTGAGATTTATTTTTTGACCATGGAATTTTGATTGTTTTTAAGAAAGAAATAAAAAGTAAAAACGTGTGCTTGCAAGCCCTGAAAGTCAACTGTGTCCTGGGCTGCGTCCAAAGCAGTGCGGGCAGCAGGGTGAGGGAGGTGATTCTGCCCCTCTGCTCTGCTCTGGTGAGATCTCACATGGGAGTGCTGCACCCAGCTCTGGGGCCTTCAGCACAGGAAAGATGTGGAACTGCTGGAGCAAGTGCAGAGGAAGGTACAAAGGTGACCAGAGGTCTGAAGCACCTGTCCTCTGCAGATAGGCTGAGAGAATTGGGGTTGTTCAGGTTGCAGAAGAGAAGGTTCTGGGGAGACCTTATGTCACTTTCCAGTACCAGAAGGGGCAACAAGAGAGTTGGAGAGGGACTTTTTATGAGGCTTGTAGAACAAGGGTGAATATCTTTTAACTGGAAGAAGGTAGGCTTAGACTAGATATTAGGAAGAAATTCTTTACTGTGGGGATGGTGAGGCACTGGAACAGGTTGGGCAGAGAAGTGGCGAGTGCTTCATCCCTGGAAGTGCGCAAGGCCAGGCTGGATGGAGCTTTGAGCACTTTAGTCTCATTAAAGGTGTCCCTGCACATGGCAGGGGGGTGGGAACCAGATGGTCTTTCAGGTTCTTTCCGACACAAACCACTCTATGATACCTCTCAAACACAAACAGGCATGTGCAACAGGAAAATGCAATTATATTGAATTCAGCATTTGCATACAACATGCATCTGTATTTCAATTATTACTTTAGCCTGGAAGAGTATTTCTGTTCATTTAATTATTGGTGTACCATTGCCAGTATTTTTATTTTGCTACTGAGAACAGGAAAGATAGACCACTTGTTAAAACAATGGGCCATGTGGAAAGAGGTCTGTTCCTAATTCAGATGCTAGAAGTCCTTTGTAATGCCAAGTAAGTAATTTAATCAGGGTGTATTTCAATTTCTTAGTTTGATAAATGGAATTTATAATATCTTCTGGTCCATAAGGTTGTTGAGAGACTTGGTAAACTTGTTTGAATACTGTGGTGCAATCCTTAGTGGAATGTTCCAAGTGCAAGATATTGTCATGAACAGAAGACGGCCTATGTGCTATACCTCTTTGTTTTCCTCTGATTGTGCCACCTCAAACTTACTTGTCACATCCCACACATGAAATGATACTCTAATTACACATGTACCAGAGCATGTGAGTGTAATTATTAGTGTAATCAACATTAATGCAACCCTTGAGAACTGGACGTACCAGAACTAGGTGAATTTATTTCTGTAGTGCTTGTTTTGCTATTTCTGATTGCTCCCTATTTGTAATGGTTTAATAGTCTTTATTCAAATGGAAGAAAGTTCAGAAAAAGGATCATTTTATACCTTTTCTATTTGCTCAGTAAAATTCCACAGAGTATTCTGGGTGTCATATAACTTGAGAATGATAGAGAGCAAATGTTTTTTCTTTTTTCCTGGTGAGCATTTTTGTTTGAAAAATGTTAAGATTTGAATATGTGGGAACATGGGTGTTTTGAGAACACACCACCAGTAAATCTGGCCATAACTTCTAGGCAAAAAAGGGAAGTCTTTCAAATTATTTGTTCATATCATCATCATTGTCATCATTATCACCATGATCATCATCCTATTTATTGATCTGTAGTGTTAGTCTTTACAGTATAACAGAATAAGAAGTATTATAAAATGCAGTTCAGAATTTCTCTTCAATAACTTTTCCTTTTATTTATATGTGTCCCTTCATCTCCAGCAACACTGAAAGTTTACGCTACTTAGTGGGTATTAATTAATGTCAATATGTCTTGCAACTGTGGCTTCTTTAAAAATGAAATCACCATTTACTCCTACTTTTGTGCGTTCATAAAGTGGTTGTCACAGTAATTGTCACCTCAGCTGTGGGATCTGTCTCTGGAAGAACAGTCACACTGCTGAGGCTCCTGTGCTGCCTGTCTGCAGAGGAATTACTCATGTAATATACTAATGCCTCTGCTATGCAGACTCTGAGCACCAGCTTGCTTCAAAGGGGCTGAAGTGTGTTCTTCTTGTTCTACAAAACAGCTTTTCCTGTCCTACTGGGTACTAGAGTCTTCCTGTACCCTGAACACATCTAGGGATGATGCCATATGAAAAGATCTTTGGCATCCCCATCCTGCAAAAGAATAGACAGTGTTGTGGTTCTTCAGAGCTCACAGTATTTGCTGGCTTCTAAGTTCTCTCCAGCTGATGATACAGATCCTACTAGCAGAGGACTAAATCCTTCTTCAAAACCCCTGAAAATGGAGGTGGTGGAAGGAGAATTGAGAACATTTCTCAGTCCAGATAAAAAGTGAGGATAACACAAAGGCCATGTGGCTTACAAAGGAATCTTGTAAGAGGTATTAATTGAATCTGGGTTTCAAGGACCATGAATGAGGCCTGTATATATTAACTTCTGTGTATGGTTAATTAACTATGCTAATTTTTATTATGTTTTGTTTTTTTTCAGATTCCGTTGATGAAAGATCCCGGTTGGATTCGAAATGTCTGGACACGTAATCTAAATGTAGGAATTTAATTGTTCACTTGCTTTTTAACTCCAGTGCCTTAGAGCAGGCCCAGCTTGAAGCCCAGTGGTCTTTGATAAAGCAGGATGAGGAGTGGTTAATTCTTGCCCACTTCCTGGTACCCAATGCAGTGTCCAAGTGTCACTCTTTGGACACTGTTACTATATGTCATCACTATAATGTGATATTATTATTCCTGTGAAAGGCTCAGTAGCTCTGTGAAACTGGTGGCCCTCATATATGGCCAGTAATAGCAGGATAAGGATGGAAAAACCATAACAATTTGGAAATTTGGCACTTGACCTGGACAATAAGCAGAGTGAGCAAACCTGTGACAGATGTGAGATGCAAGCCAGGGAAAATATGCCCAGACATCCCTGCTGCTGCTTTCCTGGAAGGCAGAGAAGCACATCTGTGAGGTGGAGGTCTTGGGACACAGCCATGGATTGACAGAAGAACCACTCACTCAGGAGAAGGAATGAGAGGGGAAGAAAGCACTTCCCATACCAGTTATAGAATTGCCAGTGCTGAATGATTGGTTAAGGAGGCAAAAGAGGCAGATCCAGGGAACAACCTGATGCTTTAAGTGACTCGGGACTCTATTCCTCAAAGTGACCTACTCTTGCAGTGATGGTGGGGCAGATTATTTAGAGGCTGACTTGATTAAATCACAGGTAAGTCCATAGCATTTCTACCCAGCACCAAGCAGAGCTGAGCATTCACATCCGCCTAGCTGAGCTATTGGAGTGACTGTCCAGCTCTGCGCAGGCTTCACAGAGGTATTAGCCTGGGTGGAGTGTGATGTTAGATAGCTACACTGCTATCTCACGTAAATCCTACCTGGGGGCTCCAGACAACCTACACAGTGCAGTGTAGGGTATTCTCTATACTTTCCAGAGGAATCTTCCTGATCCAGGAACCTGTGGAGACTTGCTTGTAGCTTGTTGGTTTTGGAGCTGGTTGTCAGAGCCTGGCAGCCTCTCAGCTGGGTCTGGCAGATGTAGGAAGGTATGTCAGCTTCAACAAACTGAGGATCTAACCTTCATGCTGAGCTTGATATTAGCAATGTCACGTAAATAATTGCAGCTAGATAAGCCAAACAGGCAGTCTGAAATTGGGATGGGGTTTGTTGCTGTTGGCAGGAGTTGGGTTTGGACATGCAATTCAGTAGCTGTGCTTTGCAGACAGACAGGTATCTGGGAATTCAAAATGCCAGTAAAATAAACAGAGGGAACTCCAATCAGCAAAGGACTGCATAAAATGTGAAAGTTAAACATATGTGAAGTGATAGATACTACAGATATGCTCTTTTCATTCCAAACTTTGGGAACATTCAGATCTACATTCAGGTGAGATTCTGAAATTTACAAAAACATATGCTGGGTAACCAAAACATGCCATGTGAACTTGTGATGTAACTTTGAAAGAATGGAGGATAATACATACTTGCAGTAAGATTATACTTTAAGAAGGATTAAGTTATGGGTTATTTGGACAAAAATTTGAATCTTTAAAAATGTATCAGTACTATGGTTTTTGTCTTAAATTTCTCAGAAGCTAGTACAGAAATACACAAAAAAGAGGAGAAGGAAGGATTTTGTAATGTGGATGTGCTACATTTAAAGCCTACTCTACAGAAAGAAGATTGAGGGAAACAAGCTAACCCCTAATGATAAAAAAATCTTAGAGATTGAGCAAATAAAAGAGTTGCTTGCACTATGCTGTTTCAATATCTGCAGAGAGAAGTTAGCAGTATGAAACAAAAAGTGAGAAAAACATATCAGGCCGAATCTGCCACAGGAAGCAGTTACCCAAAACAAATAACATCTGACCTGGACAAGGTAGATAAGCAATAAGCATGATCCCACGCAAGCAACATGAAAAACATGCAGGGTGAATGAACTGGGCTGTCATCTAGGGCTGCAGGGGAGTGACATCTGATATCACTGGGATGACTGCACAGGGAGGCTTTTTTGTTAGTGCCCAAATTGCAGTGTGGAGGTTGGAACGGGGAAAACGGTGTCTGAAGAGTTCACATCAGAAGCAGACATGTACCTTGACATGACTCTGACCTACCTGTGGGTATGCCTTTGGTTTTTATTCTACTAAATAGGATTATTTTCTTTGTCTTCTGACCAATCCTTTGTCTCTTCGTGTACTATGATACAAAACACTGCTTTCCTGCTCCTACTCTTGCTTTTAAAAAACCCCAACACTTCACCTGTTTGAGGCAATGAGCAAACCCTTTGCTTGTGTAATACAGAGTTCACTGGCTTGAAAGGGATTATATTGCTCTGTGTGAACTGATCACCAGGCCTGATACTTTCAGACTCTAAACTCACTGGGACGGGAATTCTCTCCGTGCATGATACCACCAACACAATGTGGCTGATGTGTGAGTAATAAAACAAGCTGATGTTGTTTTTGTGGGCAGAAGCTGCTGGCTTTGAGAGCCTGTGCATGGTATGTAGATTTTTCTGAAGTAGATATGGAATGAGGGTAGCAGGAATGAGGCAAAGTACCTGATGAATTCTCACATTTGCATAATGGAAATGGAAAGCATACAGGCCACCAGGACAAAAGTTTTCTGTTCAGGATGTGCTGGACCTAATGGAATGGATTTCCCTAATATCACCAAAGTATATTATTTACATAGATTTACACAAAGTTCTTGTTTTAGCACACACTTCTATTGTATTTATGGAACAAGGATAAATATTTTCAGTGTTAATCCTGAATGTGTCTTATTTTCTCAAAACAATTCTGAAACATAATGTTTTTAAACAATTCTTGCATGTATGCACAAGTGCTGATAAGCTTTTTTCCAACAGTGAAGAGGAATACATGGAGACAGAATTGACCCATTTATGTAAGGGTAGTACACCTAAAGAGCTACATGTAGAACAGGCTTGGTAATACATTCATTTATAGTATCTTAATACTGGACTAACTAAAATTGTTTCAACTTTCTCAGTTCAACATTGAATTACATTTCCTTTTGATGGATCATTGCCTTCTGAGAGCCATTCAAACACATCATACTTTGTGACCAGATTACATAGACATAGTAAACATCCCTTTAAGACAGTTGTGATTCACTTGCAAAAACTTGTGTGCATTTTGGACTTCAAGACTCTTTTATACTGAAGTTTTCATTAGAGTAAAATTTAAATTTTTGCTCAGCTTTCAACACAATGGCAGAAATCAGAAAAAAACCCTTTCTTTCAAACCACAGACTACAGTTCCTCCATTGGTTAATATATCCTTTGTCAGCAAATCAAAATTTAGTTTTCCAAGTAATTATTTTTAGACTGATGGAGATGAAATGTTGTTTAATGATAGTTCTAAAATAACATTCACTACTATGTTCAGGGATTTTAGTGCTATAACACTTCTGCAGTAACTACACTCATTTTGACACTGTGAGTACTTACTTTAAGGGAAGGATTTACTGAATTACCTGGGACACTTCTACCACTCATAGAAATTTAAACCTGAAACAGACATAAAGTACCATTTTCATAATTTTGCAAGCTAATACCTATTAAAGGTATTAGCACTCCAGTTGTAGAAATCATAAGACTTAAACTAATCTCTCAGATAATATCACATAGATATGCATCTCCTTGCAGGAGATGTAAAGAATGACAGCAGCTAAAAAACAAATAAGTGGCAATGTTCCTGCTTTAACACAACTGACTTAGAGGTTCCAGTTAGAGTTTTATACAGGTTCTCAGCCTAAATCAGGAGAATGAAATACTTAGATAAGAGAAAGAATGCAGTATTTATGGATTAATTACCCAGGGCTGTTGCAAATAATTAAAGAGAATTTATTGTTTTGTGATGTGCAGGATTTAATTCTGTGCCTCAGCTTGTTCCTAGGATTTTCACACAATTTTTATTATTAACTTTATCTATAACAATATATTTTTAAGAACCAAAGAGCTGACAACAATAAGATTGTCAGATTTTACAGCAACCAAGACTGGAAAGATTATTTGCTTAAGCCAAGTATGTTTTAAAATATTGTCATTATTCCATTTAGCTCAAATTTTGCCTGATAAAAATTTATCACAAGAATTCAATGGATGATTGTACTTTTAATTCAAAACAAGCACAGTGACTCAAACTGTAATCACTAAAATCCCCAATAATGGAATTAAAAGGAAAACACTTCTAAGACAGATTATCCCAATCCAGTATCTCACCTCTCCCCCCAATTCAGCTGATACAGAGCCTTGAGGTTAAAGATCAGAGAGATCTGAAATCTGTGCTGCCAGATTAAGTTGTCTTCAAATTTGGCACAGAAGAAGGAATGAGAGGACAGTGTGGAAAGATCTTAGAGCCAGAGCTCTCTCATGCCTCACTGTTACAGAAAGCCCTGAGAAGAGAAAGCAGGAATCCTTCAGGTGGAGGCACAGGACCCACGCCTGCTGCAGAAGCTGAATTGGGAGAAGTACCTTTTTAAATGTTACACACCGCTGTTAAAAAAACCCAAACAAACAAACAACAAAACACTGCTCTAACCTGGTTATATTCTGTCACTTCAAATATTCAAGAAAACTGAGCATTAGTGAGAGAGGAAAACACTAAGTAGTACAGGGTTGCACTATCTCACCTTTTTTACAGCAAAAGCAATAAACCTTTCTTTACTTTGGATGAAGGGATGAAGAGGTGAACTTTTGGGCAGTACCAGCAGAAGCCTTCCCCATTAGTTCACTGGTGAGGGAGACAATAGCCACAGTCTGCCTCTCCTCCTGACAGGCTGCTCACAATCCTCCATCTGCCTCTTTCTTGAGGGGAGAGTAAAACCCTTTTCATCCAGTTTAATTACAGTTCCTGGGAAAGTACAGAATTATCTCACTTCAAAGCCAAGAAAACCTGCTTCTTGTAATGCCAAGACAGGGACAGAGTATCCCTGAATTCACCAGGAGCCACACACAGCACAGCCCCCCTCTACCCTGGTCTGCACAGAAGTGAAGAATTTTTCTGTCACAGA